GCTGGGGAATTCTGGGAGTTGAAGTCCGCACATCTTAAAGTTCCCAAGGTTGAGAAACACTACTGTACACCGTTGGCAGGGGGGGAGGATGATTTTAAAAAATGATTTCTGACATCTTTTTCTCTTTCTCCCAAGCAGGAGGCTGCAAGATAGAAAGAAATAAGTCTTACCAAAAGAGATCTTTTGCATAAGAGTTTGAAGTTAGGCTGAGAACGGTAGAGAATTAGGTAGACACAGCTCACTTCTGCTCTAACATGTCAGAAATGCAGAAGCAGTTGTAAAATGTGGAGTGCAAACTGGGGTGTGGGGTGGAGAGGAACGACATAAGCATATTTCCATACACTTCTCTGCAATATTGTCATGGAAAAGTACCAGCACGCTCATTAAACTAACATTACCTAGTCCCATCCTTCTTGACCAATACAACCTTCCATGGAAACTTGCATGGAAACTGTACATGGTAGTTCCTGAACTTGCTGTAAGCCATGTGTTCATTCTGCAGTTAACTGGAAACGGCAGGACAAATTCATACATTTTCCTGTAAAAAGCACCTTCCATCACTGTCCTAGCTAGGAGTGTCTGCTGAGAGGGGGTCAAAAGAGTCAAAGTGGTAGCCATAATCATGTAACTACAAGCACCCCCTTTTATTTTAATATGTCTCATTGCTTGGCTGTGGCTGCTATTTTGACTTTTTTGACCGCCCCCATGAAAATAATTGCACATTGAATCTCTGCCATGCTGTTGACCAGAAACATCTCTCTTTTCCCATGATGATCTGTTACAGACTCCAATCTACTTTGAGCTCAACCTTCGTTTATTCAGATGTAAAAGCAACAAGCATATAGAAGACAATTGATTTTTTCAGACTTGACTCCAATATTAATAGAACAATATTAATGTTACTTAGAATGCAACCAGACATTTTTTCATCAAGAAGTAAGTCTGTTCAAGAACTGGATGGCAGGATTACTACTTTTCCTCATTATTTTTCAAGTGGTTATTGATTGTTCTAATTGTTTCTGTTTGCTATTTTGTTTCATGTAGGTTCTCCAAAGGTTTTTAAAAAATCAAATTATTACATTGTGATCAAATAAAGCAAAGATAAAAATATACCCCTGAGTGGAGACAGTGAAAATAAATTTCAACATGGAGTATTGATAGAAATTCTAGGAAATGATAAGTAATAGTTGAAGTTTTATACCATTTTCCTTTGGGATGAATGTGAAAACTAAAATGGGAGGGAAGGAGAATGCTTCTGGTCAAGAGCATGGTGGAAACCTAGGCAAGGAATGTCATAACTCTGCCCACCCCGAGAAGCAAACCGGGCACATTGAGCAGGGCTCTTAAGAAGACAGTATCCAAAAGTGGGTACCAATTTTGCCTTGTGCCCTGCAAACGGAAGAGAACTTTTAGACCAAAAGACATTTGTGAAGTGATGAGATGGACAGTCCCTGCCAATATCCAGAGGCAAAAAGAGAATTGTTGGTGCCTAGCTCCCTCTGAACAGAAGAAGACAGCTGAAGACAATAGGATGACATTTTTAAGGAGGGGCTGTTGCATTTACTTGTCCATCAATGGAAATGATCTTTGGAGCCATTCTTCTGTGGCCCAAAAACCCACAAGGTCTGTCTGGTGGGAATGAGAAACAAGGTCCTTGTAGTTGTGGTACCCAGATGCCAAAGCTCCTTTCAGAGGGAGGCCTATCTTACTTCCACATAGCAGCTCTCTAGAAGTTGATGAGACGTTCCTTTTTAGAAGGCCTTCAGCATCAACTCCTGCTTGCTATTTTTTAATTAATTGTTGTGTTCTCATATTTTAACCCCTTTTTTGACAGCTGCTGCTGATTTTCTTCAGCTGCTGACTTCTGGTTTATATTTGCCTTTTAGAGAACAATATTCTGGTTATTTGGTGTGAGCTGCCTACAACTTTATGTAGGAAATTTATAATCTCCCCTTATGCGGATTATAAAAAGACACAACTCTTCATTTTAATGTGACAGAAGGGGAGGAGATTAATTCCCTTTAATCAATTTAACCTGAATGAAATTTATGGGTTAAATTAATTTCAGCCACATGTGGGTTTCACCCTAAGCAGAGCTACTTTCAGAGTTCACCCAGAAGGCTAAGGGTGCTCCTTGACCTGAAAAATTCTGTGCTTCTACCAGATATTTTTGGGTCTCTGGGTGTCATGCACGTTCTTTACCTGTGATATAGAACCTGATGCTCCTTTCTTCAATGCCCACCTTGTTGGAAGCCACACAGTAATAGATTCCCGAAACATTGCTTGCTGTTGTGATCAGAGTGCTTAAGACCTGTCCAAAAGAAAAAGAGAAAGTGGTTGCTTTCTGCTGAAACATCTCCCTTATCCACAAAAAGCTGCAGGGACATTGTTTGGCGACATAGAATAAAACAGACTTGGCCCTTCAGTTCATTTACAGTCCAAGACTGATCATAAAAATATATCAAATACTGCAGATTACTCATGAATGAAAAGTACAGGATGGGCCCGAAACAGTTAATGGTATTAAGAAGGCATCAAATGACTTGTCTAAACCTTAGCGATGGATAAAAAAAAACTTGAAACTTTCTTGGAAGTATCTGGAAATTGGTCCCACAGAAGGAGAGTGGTGATCATAAAAGCAGTTACATTTTCCAAGAACTGGTAATATGAGATCCATTCGCCATTGGCCAAGGATGCTCCAGTGCTTGCTTTCAATCCATTCTGAAATTTGCCCAAGCGCTACCTCTTGGAGATTTTGCTGAAGCTAAAAAAAACGAAAAAAGACTTGGAGGGATAAAAAGGTAGATTTCCTTGTAGGACATGTGCAAGAATTTTCACAACTCAAAACCCTGTATCATAATTGGGCTGTAGGCATGCACAGGCATAATTAGGGACAAACCGATTATGCAACTAAGACAGCACAACACGGTATCTTCTTACCCAGAAGTTAATGACTGTGACCTTATTTTTGAACAGACAGGTGCATGATCAAGTTGTATTGATCACTGAAGTCTTTATCTGCCTGTTGTGATTCCAGTTTGCAAACAAGGTGCACCTTCAATTTAACTAAGGGGGAAAACTTCCATTGAAGTAAATGGGGGCTTTTCCAGTCAATGCAAACTACCAAGAGGGCTGGACCACTGATCTCCAACTGCTTCCCTGGCCATACTAGGTCTTGATCTGGGTCAGAGTCCTTGTGTTTACTTTGAAATAGAGAGAAGAAAGATGTGGGTGTTAAATCCACCTGGCTGAAGCAAGTGGTTGATGCTGAAATATTATTTTTGTTCTTGGTGGATTCAGCTTTCAAAGTTATTCATTACAATGTCAGGATTGGACATATTGTACATAGAAAGCTTTGCATATGTATATGGAGGCATGCACGCATGCCAACCACAACCCAATATATTAGAAAGATGCATAGCCAATAGACAGTGGGGCAGTGGGCAATTCATTTCCCCAGAAGAAGAAAGCTTGAGTAAAAAAATTGCTGCCTAATTATTCCAAGGGATTCTTCTTCTTAAAAGAGAGATTCATCTTCTATGAATTTCGGAGCCTTTGCAAATTAAAATAGATATGCAACCAAAGTTTGATGCCCTGACTGAGCCAACATTGCATCTGTGTTTCCCATCACAGTCATGGAACCAGTGCTGAGTCCTGGGAACCCATGCTCCCTCTTCTCAAACAGAACAAGGATGGAAGGGTGTAAAGGAGTGTATGTCTTCAGGGGCAACTTGTACAATTCATCTGCCACGTATCCAAATCACATAAAAAGTAGAAGTGCTGCAAGACGGCTTTTGTAGACCCGCCAACCATGAAGGTTCCAACAGAAGAGAATATCTGCAGCTCAGGGTTGAACCGTGAAGTTCTTGGTGCTCTCTAAGCCTGGCTGTTTGCTTGCCGGCATTTCATTACCCAACATTTCATGACCCTAGTTCACTCCACAATCCATGAAGGTACAGCCATTTAATAAAATGAACATGGATCTAAGGATGGTTAGCAATGATTCTTGTTTCACTTCCTAAGGTTCTCTCAGGAGGTTTGAGTTGAAGCCCTGGCAGTTTTTTCTGCTAGTTTTAACTTGTAAAATGAATTATCCCAAGGCAAAATACTGATTTGGATCATATTGATGGGCTGCTTCTAACATTTTTACCACACTATCTGCCACATTCATCTTCTGGTCTTAACTTCTATTTTGTTTTCAGCTTTTACTCTAATGTCATTTTTTGAGTAATGTTAATAGTCAAGCAAAACAATGAGATTAACTTCTAGATCAAAGCATTCTACCTTGAACACCTGGCAACAATTCTTCCTTTAAAAAATCAGAAATAGTTTATAGGGATTGCCTTGGGAATTTTTCTATTTCCCAATGCTCCTAGTTCTGGACTTCCTGGAAGAGAAGGAATTTCATTCTTGCTCTTATTGTCTTCCAAACACGAAAGCAATTACATGTTGATTAGGAAGCAAAAAGCTTTTTTTCCCCTTTGATATGCTTCTGATGAAAAATGCAAGATTAAACTTCAGTTGTAATGATTGATTCTTGCGAAAGGCAGCCGTTACAAGTGGAAGAGTTTCCAACCTGGGATGGCAAATTCAAGTTCTTTGCTGTTAAAAGGGCAATCGTCTCCCTCCCTTCTGGAAAAATAGTGGGGCACGTTTTTGTCAATACAATCCAGCAAGAATGCTAGGTGCCAAGCTTTCGAAACCAGCCTCAAACTTTGGATATTTGCCCAGGTTATTTCAGCACAATCTATTTTTTTCTTTAGACAACCCAATTTATTTATTATACTTGGCAGCCCATATTTCCCACAGAATCTTGGACAATATTTAAGACTCTCTCCTTCCTTGATTTTACCTTCACAGGGATCCTGTGAAGATTCGAGTGAGAGGATGTGACTTCTTCTAGATCCCCTTCTAATTTCACACCTGAGGAGAGAGTTGGGCTCAGATCTCCCTAATCCTGGTCCAACGCTCTAAACTCTAAAGTAATGGTGATGGTCAACTTTTTTTTTCCAGCTTGGGACAGCATAATTTGCCTTTATGCCCTGTCCTAGGAGCTACAGTTGGGTAATCCATGTTGCCATGACGTCTAGAATGTGCACAGAATGAGATTTTTAATCCTTAACCTTCTCATGGGCTCTGGGACCTACAACTGTGCTCCTTGGCCTACAGCCAAGCAGCAAATTGCCCATCATGTGTTCTCACATGCTAGGTTTCCATTCAGGCTCCTTGTGTTCAGTCATACTTACTTCTGAGTAAGTGCACAAGGATTGCCTTCATCAAAGGAATTCTCTTTTGTTCATCTGTTTATCTATGTGGGTATTATAAACCACCTGGTTTGTTTATTGCAAGCCTCTCAGGAGTCTATGATGGAGTAGCTTATGTATGATGTAAAACACTGCAGTGGTGCAGTACTTGGGAATCATTCACATAAAATGCTTTTGTGTATGAGGGACCGTGAATGTAGCACCTCCCTGCAACATCTGACAGCAGTTGTGTCTTTTTCTGGGATTGTATAATCCTGGAGAAAGACACGGCTGCTTTGACGGGTGCTATATTTGCACACCCACATGCACAGAACTATTTTGAAGATCCAGTTCAAAGAGCTGCACAGCCCTAGTAAGTACATAAATAAAAAATTAACTTATGTCACAGTGCAAAAATTCCCAAGAGATCAATTACTTCACAGCTCTTAAATCTCTACAGATAAGGAGTTTGAAAGCATGCAGTCTAAATAAGAAACATCTTAGCAGTACCTCCATTTACTCCCAGGGTGACTTTATGATTAAAAAAGAGAATAATTTATTACTGAAATGAGGGAGTAGGCCTGTGTTATTTAATTCTGACTCAAATTATTAGTTCTTTGCCTCTTTGATAGTTCAAGGAAACTACAACTGCTTAGAGATAAATAATAGAAAAGAAGCTACCTGATTATGGATTTACTAAAGCTACAGAAATGTTTTAACATCTTATTTCAAATTTATCTGGACCCTTAACCCATTTGTAACTTTCTAAAGTCAACATTTTAATCACCCTTTTGCTGTTTATTCCAAAAAAATAATATATATTTTTTAAGTCCTTGAAACTTTATTTAAAACTTCTTTCACTAAGGATTGAAGGAAACTCACCCATTGCTACAAAACTTCAAGATCCAAAGGTTCCTAATAGCTGAAAAGCAGTTAACAAGCAATTTCTGACAGTGATTAGAAAAGGAAGTCTGCGAACCCAGTGCCCTTTCAAAGGTTCCAACCAAGTTTTATCACCTTTTACACATATGGCATCACTGAGTTACTTTATAAAAAGCATCATGCATAACTTGGTTTGGTCATAGAACCATATCTGATGTATAACACTGGCAAGTATAATCTATTTAGGCAAACATTATAAATGTCCTGGTGAACATTTCTGGTAAGTACTGCTGTAAATGGAGCCACACACTCCTGAAACAGACACAGGCTGAAAACAGAACTTTGTAGAAGCTTTTCCAAATCATTTTGGGCCATTAAAGGTTTGCATCAAAATGCAAGAGAAGCAACACTGTTCTTAGCCATTTTATATATCGTTATGAAAAGAAAATATTAGGGAATATTTCACAGTTCCTGTTCCCATTGTTTAAAGCCCAGGAGGGGGGGAGGAGACCCCCTCCTTTCCAAATTCCCAGTTTCTTTCCCTGCACTTTCTTATTTCTAATCAGAGCCACCCATGAGTTGGACTGAACAGACATGTGTTTTTTTTTCCTCCTGGGCAAGTAGGCATTCTTCCAAATAAAGTCTTATGCTACAGCTACATTTTATTTTTTAAGAAAGTTGATAGGACCTATGTGGGACTCAGAGGCATTTTTGTAAATAAAGTTATTTCTAGGGCCTTGTGTTTGTGCTGAGGAATGAGCCAGTTTCCCATGGACTATTGGTTTTAATTAAGAGGGTCAAACTAAATTCAATAGGCAGATGGCCTGGCCGTCAAGGGCAGATCCCCTTGGAGAGTCACCGTCAATCACTAGACAGAATTGTGAGAAAGCAACTGAGATCCTGGCCCAAGGAGATCGTACACACCCAACTCTTTTCTGGGAGCCAAAGCTGAGAATCCCCTTGGCTCGTCTGGGTCTCTGCATCAATCAAGTGCAAGATATCAAACCTGAAAGCACCTTTGAAGGACACCCTGCATCGTAACAGCTAGGGCCTAATTTACAAGGAACTGAACCGTCATTTAGCATTGCTTTATTCTCAGCTGTTTTAGTGGATCTGCTACCTGCAAAGCAGAGTTCTAGCCAGGAACAAAAACCAGGGCATTTTAAGAGCAGCAGGAAAGGCCCACCTGAACATTCATCCCTCCTTGTCATGGATGAATTTGTTGGCCACTGGAGAAACAGCTTTTGCATCTGTTACTCTCAACTATAGAAGTTGCGATCTGCTCCCCAAATTGTACTGCTTTTAATAAAGGACTCAAAGTATTCCATTGTAGCTTGGTCTTTTAAATCTGAGTTAGTTCTGTTAGGGGGTTTAACTGTTTTAAAGAGATGATGACGATGGTTGGCTGCCTTGATTGGCCTATGGTCAGAAAGGTGGGATATCAATTGCAACAACAATAATGAAGATGACCTCAATAGCAACGCAGGGGTATGTGTCTTGCCCTTCCTATGGCTATGTTCCCATGACATGTGAAAACTGGATCAGTGGAAGGGTTAGCATGTCATGAGAACTCTAAAAAGAGGCTAACTGGCCCAATCAGCCAATTCTTAAGATGGCAGATTTATCTTATGGCCAACTGGGAGACATCTGGATTTTGCAGTCCAGATCTGATAAGTCCTAGATGAACATGTGAAGTGGGCCTACACGGATGGTGTACTTTGGCTACCTGCAACACATCCCTTAGGAGCTGCTTTTTTGTTTTGCTTCTGAAATATCTACATTCCTACCAGCTTCTCTGTCTCTGAAATGCAATGAGACCAAACAGCGTAAGTGATACACTGGGAATTTCTCTCTAGCAGCTCCGAGATGCAAGGGGGGGGGGGCAGTTCAAGGAACGCAAGGCACGTGAGAAAGTGGATCCAATCTGAGCTAATTCCAACATCATACCACACTCAATTAAAGAGTGGCTGTCAGAGCCTCTGACATTTTTACTATTTTATCTGGCTAAGCGAACACCAATAAAAGTACTTTCTAGGACATGGTGGGAAACGAATTGGTCTGTTTGCTGAAAGATCTATTTCTGATGGGAATGAGTATGGTAGATAATAAGCTTATGTTGCCTCTCTCATCACTGATTTGTTTATAAAGTTGTAGGATATCATCAGGAAGGCCTGCTTTCTCCAGATATCCACCAATTTGATTATAGCTTTACTGAAAGAATTGGCTTCCCTAATGAGGCTTGATTGGAAGAAGTTTGGAATTCAGGCCTATGATAATTTGGCTTTATTAATCTCCACCGAGGGATAGAATCAGCAGCATTCACGGGGTGGTCAAAATTACAACTCAAGTTTGCAGCTTTGCAATTGAAGTGTTTCCTCTTTCATACCTGCATGCCAAGGAATAGGGTCTCAGTTACGATGCTGGGCCAGCCATCTTGCAGACACTGACACATATACACCCCCCTGCCCCTGCAGATGTTCATGGATACCATGATTAAGAAACCACATAAAAAACAACAGACCAGGAATGAAACAAAACCTTAAATTCTAAAAGGGTACAATCTCTGCACCAGTTAAGTTATGGTTTGTTGATCGGTTAACTCACTAAAGCTGAAAAAGAACAGAGCAGTATTAAAACCTGAATCATGGCAAAAAGGATGACTGTTCTCAACTGTTGGCATTTGTAATCTAATTTGCATCTTGGCTTTAGCCATTGACGTCTGAACGCGTGTCACGGTCTTGTTTTTGGCCTGAGCGTGTGAAAACTCGTGGGCGTAGGTTGTTTGTACAAAGAAGCTGTTCTGCACTTGCAGAATGTTTCAGAGCATTTCTGTGTTATCGTTCAAAAGCATGCACCCAGAAAAGTAGTACACACGTTCTGAACATCCTTGCCTATCTATAAACAGTAACACTGGAGTTTCAGATTAAAGGGAGATCAAAAATAAGAGAATCAAGGCATGGCCTTTACTGCATAACTTGTAATGGGCCTGATTTCATTTTTATTGGGGATGGGGTATCACCCCAAAAACGCAAGCCTAATATGCCACCCAACTCCCAGCAACTCTCTATTGGGTGGTTCCTAGTGGTCTCCCATCCAAAGTATTATCCAGGCCTGGCCTGCTTAGATCAGATCAGATCAGCCAGGTGGTAAGTGAAATGGTTTAAGTGTTGACCGTTTGATTTTATATGTAAAACTAGTTCTGTTTAATACATGAGGTATTGAGAGGCTTGAAAAATACTTTCTTTTCTGAGGAGAAAGGTTCTTCCTTCCTCCCCTCATCTTTTACTGTTGAAGAAAAGAAAAAAGAAGAGTAAAAAGATGCTAGGAAAATGGGAAATGATGCAACAGTCATTCCTATTTTAATCGGGATAACTCTTAATATTATTAGGAAGGAAGGAAGGAAGGAAGGAAGGAAGGAAGGAAGGAAGGAAGGAAGGAAGGAAGGAAGGAAGGAAGGGGAAGGGGTAAAGAGAAA